GATGCGGCATGGGGCAGACGTTTCTACGTCTGTTTCATGGCTACGTGAAGCTGCTCACATAGCCTTATGAGTAACTCAAAACATTTATTGTTTCACCGGAACCAAATTCACGCGTCCTGCCGTGCGATTCTGTTAATCCGTGAGTTCACCTCGCACTAACAACGCTCCCTTCGTCACTCACGTCATTTTTGCAATCTCATGATATTCTGTTAAGCAATTTCACATTACGTCTTGACAAGCGGAGGGAGCTTGTAGTTTATTGTTTATCAGAATGCCAAATCGTAAAATGACTGCTTCACGACTGATTTGAGCGCGACCGCCGCGAAAACCGCAGTGAGAGTTCGAAAAGTGAGTTACAGAATCGCAAGGCTGTACCTGAACAACTAACGAGGTGACTTTTAAAGTAACCATAGTCATACCTCTTCAAAACATAGACTAAAAATGTAATACATTTCATTATAAAATACAAAACACTGTATAATATATATTTTATCTACTTATGGTTTAATGCTTACATACGAGTTTCTAGTTTATGCGTATTGTCGTAACGTTCTATTTAGAATAAGGTTTAATGAGCACAGAGAAACGAATGCTCATATAATATTTTACTTTTAAATGAAATATTGTTCATGTGAGAGCGTGTGTGAAAAACCACCTTAATCATAAAAATGAATCGGTGTTAGTGGACCATTTAACTAACATATTAATCTCTCTTTTCATTACAACCCAAATGAAACGAAAAAGTAGGCACTGTAGTTTTTTTTTAATGGCTCTGGCACGATTTGTGCATTTGCCAGCGTCAAGTATAAGATTTTTTATAATTTGTGCTTGTCTTTAGAAATTCGACCGTGTCCTCCATGTACGGTTTAAGCACTCGCCCGGTACCGCACAACCCTCCCAAAGGCCGAGAACAAATTTAAATTAAATTAAAACTTGCCCTCGAACCGGGAATCGAACCCGGTACCCCTCACCTAGCTGCCACTTAATAAGACCGCTAGGCTATGAGGCCCCCGGTACTGTAGTTAAAAGTGCAATTAGAAAGTGACACAAGTTTTAGAAGATTATATCGCAGGACATTTGCTCTTTGTAATATTCCACAGATCATAATGTAAATACAGTATGACAAAATTTACTAGATTTATGCCCACCAGAGGGAATAAGTGAATATTAAGATAAGTACAAATAATACAATTAACACCGCAACGCGTTTATTAATCGTCTAAATACAACGATTCTAAATTGAACATCCATTTTAATGATTTTAGTCAAATTTCCATTTATACTGCTTTATAGACAATTAGACTCGTTTTTATAGGATGTAATAAAAATATGATGTATGTAATTCTAGTCAGTAAATATTCGGACTAAATTACAGGGGAAAGGATGGTACGGACGACAAATATTAACCTTCCAGTTTCGTATTGCACCGATGCATCCCATATGGCCATGTTTTTCGATTTTGCACTAATGAAGCATGCAAATATATTTAAGGCGTATATAAATTATAGTTACTGGGAACGGATATGTGTTGCCATAACAAGAATTTTAAATAAGGAATAAAAAGGAACAATACAAATTTTCCAAAGACAAAAAAGATGAAAAAAGCCGCGAACGTTTCGTTATCCCCACGTTTGAAGTACACCTGACATAATGAAAGATGTGAAAGCATTTTTATATTTTCTAACATAAAGTAGACATTTTTAAAACATTTTCCGTAAAGACACATTAAGCTTTCGCAATTATCAGGTGTCGCGTTGATATGAAAGCTAAAAGCAAGTTCGAAATGAAAAAAATTCAGAGAAAAACCTCGTGTGTGATGAAAAGAATCGTTGCGAAAATTTTTAAAACAGGCCTGGAAAAGCAGCGTTGCATTTTCTTTTACTCGGCCACGTATTTATAACATGTCACTCGACCGTGCAGTATAATGCGGCTTCAGTATGGAGTCATTAATAACATGTATTTATAAATTAAAGTTCCAATTAAAATACTCTGACGAAAAACATCCGTTGCATAGTTTTAAAGTTGTTCGTGTGCGTCATTATGTTTACCATGTAGAAATTTCTTATATTTCAATAATAGCATTAAACTAATTGATAATAAATCTTAGTAAGGGGTTAAATTTCTTCTTCAGAGATTTTCTTTATAATTAATCAGCCAATGATTGTTGTGACGTCATCAACAGATTACATCTTAAGCTGTGTTCAAAATTAGAATTGTTTTTGTAGACACACATTTTTTTTGTATCATACACCTAATCTGTGGACAGTAATAGAGTCTGTCAATTGTCAATGACAATTCACGTCCATTAGGGATAAATTAATATCATCACGAACATCGACGACCATCGACGACCAAATTTAAAATGGTCGTTGAAATATCGAATCTATCACATACTTCGTATTATTCACGAATTAATTCATATAATAAATTAAATTGTCCCTAATCAACTAACGCCACTTCTATTTCCGGAAAATATTTCAATGAATGTATACAACAAAAGCTCTAAAGTCGCTTGAGTTCAATAATATTCAAATTAATTCACGGCGCAAGATTTTAAATGGAAATTCGTGTAGCGTTCGTAAACATTTTCCTAATTCGAGGTCATGGCGAAGTATTCAGAATATGCTATTGCTATATAAAAACTTCAAAAAACTTATGGATCTGTTATGAAAACAATAATGAAATAATAATTGACTAAATTGGTTTTTACAATATTTGGAAAAAGGTGACGCCAATATCCGTATCACCTCGACGTTCGAGTTAGGGCCATGAAGAAAAGAGCGTATCTATTCTTAAAAGGCCTGCAACGCACTTTCGAGCCTTCTGGCAGTGTAAAGGCGTGGTATCACTTAACATCAGGTGTGCCTCTTATTCTATAAATCTCAAGTAACCATTGGCTCTGCGCCATTTAGAAAGAATAGTGCATTGGTGTAGTCGTGATATGATTAAGAGTCGCTCGCTCAAGCCCCAATTGTATTGTTTATCCTTTAATAAACAAAATGACATCAAGGGTCGATCGAAATTACAAGGCAACTAGATGTGGTTTGCGGTTCCACCCGCATTAATTCAGTTGTAGCACGATGTTCTATAGCCTAAAGCTTTTCTCGGTAAATAGACTTTTAAATGCAAAAAATTTTTTGTTAGACTTTATGGTATCACAGACTTTTCTAAACATATTGATGTCTTCTATAAAACTGTGGTACATCACTTTGCTTTATTATGAATAGTTTCCGCATCGTACGTGATTAAGGAAAATCGTGCGTGCGTGGTGCGACGTTCGCTCTATCTCACTCTCTCTCTTGGTCTTTCTCTCTTACTTGCTCCCTACTCTCGCTCCATGGCTATTTGCTTCATGCTACGTTCGCCTTTTCTCACACTCTCTCAATCGTTCTCAATCGCTCTCTTCGACAAAATCGCTGCACATCTTCGTGACGCTAATTTTATTATTATTGCGTTTCATCCGTAAAAAAATTACCCTCATGTGCCTAAAGAAGTTTCACTTCAAAAAAGCTTACATGATAATAGCGACAATAAGTGATTTGACCTCAGGTAAGAAAGATAAATGTGGTTTCAATACCTTTGGGAGAAACTGTACTCAAGCATCGCGCAGCCACTTTTCAAAGGATTTAGCTGTGAAAGGAACCGGGATTATTAAAGTTGACATTGATTTTTACAGTGTCTTCTAATGTATCATAAATGTAATCTACTAGCAAGTTTCTCCATATTTAATTTTAATATTTTTTGTTTTCCTTTTTGAGTTGTGTGTTGTTAAATGTTTCATTCATTATCAGTAGATATGCATTATAATGGGCAGGATTTGGGAACCCTTTTAAGTAAACAGCACCTGTGTCGGCGTTCTTAGCTCTTCCATAACAAAGTTGTTATATCTACATAAAACAAATCAAAATTTTAATTAAAAATATAAATATATACATATGTTCGAAATACATAACTATGATATTGATGAGGGTGATCTAAACTATTTAACTCTTAACTGACCGTCACATTTTTTTTATTTTCCAGCTTTGTTTTACTCCTATTGTGTTGGACGTGTTTTTTGATTACGTTTTGTGAGTATATAAGGCAAGTTAGCAGTCTAACCTCTCTTATTGTTCCCAAACTAATATAATTTCTCGTTACGGCTGCCAATTGAGTGCCTTTCTTGTTGTAAAGGATATATCGAAAGTAGGTATGTACTCAGGACTTATTAATTTAGTATAAAATTGTGTATCGATGGCAACCGAACCGTTCTTTGTGGTATAATATACATACACGTATGTATGTTTATAATAAATTATTCTACTAATTTTTAACAGCATACGCGACGCGTATCACGCCTGATTGAATGAGTGAAATAGAAAGTGAAATGCATATGAATCAACTACAAGTTTCATCTCAGTAGCTTTTACAACTCTGCGTCAGGTATCTTCATAAGCCAGTCTTTTAACAGTCTTATTTATATAAAATACACAATTACACACACATCAAACCTAAGCAAAAGGACATTACTTAAAAAGGAGATTCTATTAAACTATTGTTTATAATGAAATTAATATCTTACACTGACATGATGTGGTAAGTGAAAATACAGTTTCCCTGAGAGAGTTGTCTAAGGGAAGTCCCGTAATAACTTATTGGATTTTCACAAAAGACAGTTCATCACGCGCTAAGCGCGCAAGGTATGACTGCCAAATGTAAAATTCATTGACATACAAAGTAATACCTATTTTGTCCTTCATACAAGTAGCATGGTATTACTTATATGAACCTTCAAGCTTTAGATATTTATTTAATTCACCCTTATCCCAGCAAACAGTTGAGTTTCATTAAACGCTTTAATTTGTTTTAAAATAGTTATGCTTACCGCAGTAACAATAGACGAAGTTTTAAACAGTCTACATAAGGTAGATGAGGGTTTCCGGTGAGGTAAAGCAATCAAAACTTATTCGTACAGCTTACGTACGGTCGCTGGAAATTTACACAGAAAAAATTCAATATCAATGTTCAACCTTGGAGCAGTATTTGCTCACAAACCGTCTGATCCTCGACTTGCGTCTGAACCTCGGTCTTGCTTTCAAATTCCGGAAGTTGTCGTTTTAAAATATGGTAACTATTTAATTTTTTGTTTTTAACACTCTTCAAGTAAAGGAAATTAAGTGAAGAAATGGTCATTTCAAGAACAAAACACATTGTGTTTCTGGAATAGAATTGCGTGCCCTAATTGGGGCTTGTGGGACTTGTACCAGAATTGATTGGTTTATAAATTCATTCGTTACTTTGCTATACGATTTATGTAGTTGGTATTGTCTAATACCGCGGCATCTGCGTGGCTTTTAAAAAAAAATAATTAAATGCAAAAAAACTTCCGTAATGTATCGAAAATTTTTGTTTGAAAAAAGAAAGAAAACAAAAAATTTTGTCCCATTGCAAAAAACTTAAGTGGAAATGGGCGGACCACTCCGCTCGGATGAACAATGGCCGATGGACAAACAGGGTAAGAAGGTGGCTTTCCACCAGGGAAAATAAGGAGAGGTCACCCTCTTGCGCTGTGGGGTGACAACCTTTTTTTAGAAGTTGGTTCCAGTTGGAGTCCTATTCTCTATAAGAAATGTATATAATTATTCCTGTAAAATTTTATTTTGTATCTTTTGTAAAGATGGATGAATCATTTATTCATATAGGTAACACAATGTACATTTATAAACGTCAAAAAAAATACATATTAAATGCTTCAAATTTTACATTTACTGCCAGTTCACAAATCAAGGGCGTAGAACGGAAGATAAGAACTGGCAATAAACTCTCCGCCACTCTTATTAATCGCCAAGGTTTTGTTTTACACAATGTTTGTAAGTAGCTGCAACCATTACAACATGTTCCACATGACATCTTAATAATTAGTAATAGTAAAATTAAATTTTAAACAAAAATTTCTAGCATATTCAGCAGATTCAGCAGAAGGCATGGTAAAATGGGAGCACGCACTTACATTCTCGTGATACGCAATGATGTGTATATGTATGTGTGTAAAATTAGTGATGTTATATTTTCTTGTATAATTGTATGCATACACGTTGTTTTAGAACTCATGAATAAATAAATCATTAAATTAAGCTTTGAAGCTTTCAATTTTTTAGATTTAAGACTTTTTGACTTTTTCTGTATCGTCACTATTTCGGCTATGGATCATATAATTTTAACGAGATACATGCCTTAAGGAAGGTAAGCAGTTTTGAACTTTACTGATACTATGACACGTTCGCCTTAATAGGGTTTACGTTTACTACCTTCAGCTCTAGTACCCCGCTACGTGTTAATCTGCTGTTGTAAGCTCTTTATGATATTAACATAGTTTGTAGGGAGCTTTCAGCATATCCGTATTAAAAACATGTTCACGTATATACTATAAAATCTTGTGGTTGTTCCAAAATTAAAAATATATTGTTTTTCTATGAGTCAGGCATTGATATACAAAAACCCAAGATGCACAATCAACGTCTAAAAAACGTCCTCAAAAAATGGCGAGCGCAACATTCTAAATTGTGCGCTCATTTCAAATAGTCTCGCGTCTATAAGTGGAGTCGATGTTTTTATTTGTGTTTTTTTTTTAAATAAATTTATGTACTCTTGAACTTTTTGAAGTTATACTTCTTTAGGCGAGTTATGAAAAATTTATGAGAGTGAAATTTTACGATGCGCGCGCACCTGTGACACAAAATTGGGAGTGTGATTATAGCGTGCGCGAGCGAGATAGGAATAAGACAATCTACCAGTAAAAAGAAATAGAATATGCGTGAAGTTCGTATGCCAAGAATTTTGAATGACCATAATGACATTTGTCATTTACCTTTTAAACAAATAAAGGAGTTTTGATTAATTTTTCAAAGAAATTTATTAATTTTATATTGTGCAATACTGCCAAAACTACAACATACTTCTTAGTGTTTGGTAGAGATGTTCTAAATATATAATTATATATACTTTTAACTAAATAGAATTTATGTTACACTTAATGTAAGAGAATAATAATAAATAATTATTTATTTAATTTTTCAAATGTAAACTGAAAATAATTGACTATAACTTAATGACTCCTTTTCCAGTCTTTGATTATTTAATTGTAATTAATTATTTGCATGCAATCAAAAACTATTTTTAATAATGCCAAAGAAGTATAACTTCTTACGCGCGTACATAAGTACACGCACCCTTTTTTTTGTGTGTAGTTTTTGACAAATATATTTACGCTATATAAAGTGTGGGTCAGGAGGTAGCCAATTTAACATTTTTTTTTAATTTAAAGAAAAAACTTTTTAACCGGATTAATGTTATGTATTATTATAAATTTACAACTATTTAACATCCAACACCTTTTGTCTTCAGTCACCGTGACCACTCACGCTGTAAAGCACCCGAAAAGTCGGATAAATTTAAAATTATGTTAAATAGTTGTAAATAAAAAAGTCATGTTCGACTCCACTCAATACCTTGTCCTACCGACCACGGTCGGTCGTAAAATTTTATTGCTTTAAGTACGTATACACTGCGTTGTAATAACAACTTTAAGCAATTCGCGTAAGGTTGATTTTGCAATAATATATGCTTGTAACATATACTGTTATGGACAGAAATAGTGTTTCGGGACACTTTCGAGCGTTACTTTTATTCGAGACTGTGCATCTTGGGTTTTTTGTATATCAATGGAGTCAGGTATAATAATTTTGAAATTGGAACTCCGTGCCTTTAAGTGTCGTAGACAATAAATTCAAGCGTTTAATTATAATCTACGGATAGCGCGCAATTCATTTGATATTAAAATTCTACGACATTTGCTGTCATACACAAATTATGGTTTAAACTTTAATTACACTTTAGTTCTTCTAACGAGTATATAAGTAGCATCTTTAGGCTATGGTCTTGGTATGGCATGCTAAAAAGCATGAATAAAGCATACATTTCTTATTTGATAACTAGTAAATTCTATGGTTGTTTAAGTCAAAGAATTATTTTTAATATAATCATAAAATAATCACTTATTAATGTATCTTTGATAGTAATACCTGAAAATTAATTTCAATGGAAGGTTTTTATCTAACCTAAAACATATTTGCTAGATTTTACCAAACTTTATATTTGCCAATCTAAATAATTCTTATTTTTTTGTTTACTATATACTTTTACACACAAATCTTCCAAGACTTCTTTACTTACGCTGTTAATTTTTACTATTATTATTTTATTTACTATTGTTATTATTACATTATTTTTTTTCTTTTTTTTGCGTCTCAGGCGCAAACTAACTGTTATGGTCTCTGGCAGAAATACCAGCGCTGTGGAACACGTCTGCTCCATAGCATAATGCTGAGCCAGGGCCAGTTTCTACCACAATACACACTTAAAATGTACCTTATTCCTTTTTTATTTTTCCCATATTTCTTGTTATTTATCTTTTTGATTAATATTATTATTTTGTATGTTTCTGTGTGTGTGTTTCGTTAGTAATAAATGCTGTGTCTGTCTGTCTGTAAATAATAAAAATACCTGTCATTATTAATTTTGGGTTTATAAATTTATAGAATAATATAGTAATAATATTAATTCATCAAACTATTTGACAGTGCCTGTCAACCGCAAAGGGACCATAAATCCCTAAACAAAATTGATCATAGTGACGGATGAGCTAGTTTAATCTAGTTATTTCGTGAGTCCTTTCTAATTTAATCAATATGGTAAAAATAAATCCTTGGTTATAACTTTAACTTAATTATTTCATCAACGTTGTGGGTAAATTTAAGCCCAAACTAATTTAATTTGCTCCAGTTCAAACAATTTGTATGTATCAAAACTTGGCGATTAAAAAGAGTGGCGGAGAGTTTGTTGCCAGTTCTTCTAGCCCGCTCTTCGCCCTCGAACTGGTAGTAAATGTAAATTTAGAATCAATTTAACATATTTTCTGTTGACGTCCATAAGTGTACTTGGTTACCTATATGAATAAAGTCATTTTGAGTTTAACTACAAAATTGTGGAATAGAATACAGAAAAAACTTTATTTTTTTCTTTGCGAAAGATAAACCGATTCTAATTATTTTTTACATCCAATGCGTAAATAATATGTGAATAGAAAATAGGCCTGTGGGTTTGTGGGGTCTGTAAGTTCGTAATCCGGCCGCAGGAATGTTCAGTGGGTCGTGATGACAAAGACGGGTTGATGGATACTTATTACATAGTATAGAAGCGTCCTTGAAGATCACAAGCTTTAACATACGGATTTTAAGTATTCGACCTCAACATGATTTATTTCCTTATATATATATATAACTACCCTAACAGCTAATAGCCAATGCGATAGTTGTGTAATATAATTGCCGTAACTTAGCATATTTAACGTGGTTTTTGCGAATTCGCTCGGAGAACATATAAAAATATCGATCGTTTCGGAGACAGTACTAAGCACTCAACTTGAGTGCTTATGACAATGTTTCGAATCTCGATACAAGTTTTATATGGACATATGTCCGTATATATATTTTTATAGTAAAAGGGTGGCATACGAGCTTACGTTGCCGGCATTTGAGGGAGGAGTATACTCTTTCTTTAAACAATTGGAGATCGTATTATCCAGGGACAATTGTAGAAACGAAGCAGTAGCATCAAACCAAACAACTCTTTAGAACACTCTCCATAGTACACTAGTACACAGTACATAGTACACAGAGGCCAAACTTGGTATTTATCACGGGGTTTGCCCAAAGGCTTTAGTCAAACCTAGGATAAACCGGTCATTCCAGGATGAGACTGAGAACTTTGACTATGACATAATATATACTATTCGTACGATGTCGGTGTTTCCGTTTATATACATATTCCATATATATACGTCCACGACGTTCATTTTAACTTTTCATTACAAACTGTATCGTTATTAGTGTATTACGTTATGCTATTAGATTTTTCCTATTGTTCGTGCTAAATCCTTTGTAATTCAACGACATTTCTATCTCTTAGTGAATAACAGGTAGAACATGCCGCGCTTTACAAAATTTGACAGATGGTGGTTGACATATGACACATGACAGATGAAGGATAATCGTTGAAATGTAATTTTTGTATTCCATTAATTTTATTTATGCTTTGTTATCAAAATGGTTTAGATAAAATAAACGCTATTAAAAATAAGTGTAAGTAAAAATAAACTTTTTAATTTTATGGCCTATTTTTTTCTATTGCAGTTAATATTTTACTTGTACGATAAAGACAAAAAACCGTAAGAATACTACGTGAGACCTGGATACAATGTTATTTTTGTACTTATTGTTGCATTCTTCAGCCTCCATGTTAAAAGCATTGAATAACAAACCCTCGATAAGCTGAGGTACGGACGTATTTTAAAATTTATTTAGTATTTAATTTAGCTAAAAAATTTTCCGTTTATATGAACGTTAAGCGTTATAAAAGTTAGTACACGGCAATATCCGGTTATCATCGATATTTCAGTGACAGTTTGCAAAACAGTCATGTATTACAACACAAATCTATCATATGTTTTACTTATGATATATAATAATATTCCTACATAGCAATAATAATAATTGAAAATTATTAATAATATTAAATAACAGATTTACTACTCAGCCAGCATATGGTTTATAATATTAGCCAATTGACAATTTACACATACAGATAACAAAACATGGATTGCATAGAGCTAACTTATATACCACAATTCCAATATGAATTTCAAAATCAGAGACAAATGTTGTATTGGTACAATTAGGCTAAAAAGTTTAAAATTAGTCACGCGGGAACTATAACGGCTACATTGTTTATTGGGAACACAAAGTTAAATTTAGCCTGAATAAAATAATTTGAGTAAATGAATCCGTTTGCGCGTTAATATTTTACGTAAATTTATTTGCAGTTACGATAAAAAGTGAAACTTAAAAATTTTAAAAATGATCTATGAGACATTCGGCATGGCGGTTATCTTTAAACTACGCGGGAGTGCCAGCTACAAAGTGTGTGAGAAAGATGCTTTCTTTTCCGTCCATGTAACCTTAACTCCCTACTTTCCCTCCCATCCAGCCAAATCGTCAAAATTTTAGGGAAATTTATTTCTGTTAATAAATTAAAGTTATAAATAAGATTCTCCCCTCCATACCTTGTAGTATAATGTTAACCTCTTGTATATATTATTACATGTCTGTGTGTGTTGTCTTTATTGTGACGTCATTTTTGTTTTGGGTAACTCTGCTTCACCGTGTGAAGACTTAGAACGCGACATTGGCGGAATTGTGATTTACACAGAAGTCGCCATTATAAATAAAGTGAAGTGCTTTCTTTTCCACAATACTATGACATATCGGAGTTGTAATTTTTTTTTAAATTTTATGGCCTGGTAACGAGACCTTTAAGCCAATCGGAGTTGTAAAGTTAAGATTCAGCAACGAGATCTAGCGCGAACTATGACGTTCGTATGTCACAATTGAAAACGATTCTGAAATACGGTGTCTGTACCCTGATTTTATAGTCGACAAAATTTTTGTAAGAATTTTTATCAATCTATCTAGATATAGGACAGTTAATTCACCCATGTATAAAACTCATATTAAGTATATATATTTCTCTCAATTCTCAAACACTGTATTTATTATTTTTTAAGCCATCGTCAACAATTTCAATGCAACAAATGAGTCACTTTGTAAAACGCATGTATCGTAATAATATTAGCGTTATTGAAAGGGTTAATCGGATATTAAAGTTGAGACTGATATTTGTAACCTGTGGGCTGATAGAAAAAAATCTTTTTGAAGTTATACTTCTTTAGGCGCGTTATGAAAAATTGATGAAAATGAAATTTTACGATGCGCGCGCACCGTGACACAAAATTATCAGTATGGGCGCCGAGCGAGATGGGAATAAGACAATCTACAAGTAAAATGAAATAGAATATGCGTGAAGTTAGCAGCTATGCCAAGAATTTTGAATGACCATAATGACATTTGTAGTACCTTTTAAACAAATTAAAACGATTACCTGTTCATTAGTGCAAAATTTCTGTCCAGCGAGTATTCTCTTGAGATCTGAGAATAGAAAAACGTCGCTGGGGGTTTATGTTAGGATGGCGATAAATATTGCTTAGACACAAAATAATTATACCTTGGAGACCAAAAACAATTGAAAATATTTTCTTCGTTCACAGATAGTAATTTCGTCCTCGGCAATGCACAAGTACCGTCATATCCCATCGTGTACTGCTCAGATGGCTTCTGCGAGCTGACGGGCTGGGCGCGTGCCCATATTATGCAGAAGGGCTGCGCATGCAAATTCCTCCACGGCCCTGATACGCACGAAGACCACCGCCGGGATATTGACGCTGCCCTCGACTCCAAACATGAACTCAAACTCGAACTTATATTCTACAAGAAAATTGGTAAGTAGTTCGTAAATTACTAAATATATTTAAAAAAATAAGGCCGGCAACACACTTGCGAGCCTTCTGGCAATGTGAGTGTCCATGGGCGGCGGTGTCACTTAACATCAGGTGAGCCCGTTTGCCTCCTATTACATAAAAAAAATATTTATTTGCCACGGATGGGATGGGATTTATTGTCAAGGAACATCCCTTTTATTATAATATTTTAAAATATATTATATAATTATAATAATAAACTGCTATAACACTATGAGAAGCATGATGTCATGGTGCTTACGAACATTACGTAAAAAAATTTTTTTTCTTTAGAGTGACGGTTTTATAGAATACTAAGACTTAATGAACATTACCTTAGTTTAAGCTATTTATTAGTATTGTAGAAAATTAAGTCAACATAATATTACTTATTAGCCATAATTATTGTATAGGCTACATTGTAATTCATGTAAAGTCGCACTCTTTTTTGTGAACTTTATTGTAAGAAAAAAAAAGAGTGACGGAGTTAAATGCCGGTTCTTCTTCGGCCTTGATTTAAGAACTGGCAGTAATTTAAAATTTAGAACCATTTTTTTACTATCTTTCATACGTGTACTTAAAGTTACCAACATGAATACTTAACCCTGGTGAACGTAATAGGGTTTAAGCAATAATTTGACGACTCATTGGTCTAGTGGTTAGTACCCCTGACTGCGAATCCATGGGTCCCGGGTTCGATCCCCGGCTGAGACGAACATCTATGTGATAGTGTAGTAACTTATATAGTTAATAAGGAAGTCAATTTATCGGTTTAAGCAATTAATTTTAAATAAATATATCAGTAGAAGTCTAATTAATACAACACTACATGACATTTTCGGTTTTCTCGAATATTTATTCAGTGATTAACTGGAAGAGTGAGCCCCGGCCATACACATCAGTAAATTAATGGACAGCTTTGCGTCGATAAGCATTTTATTATAAGTAAAGCATCTTCTCTTTTCACCAGTAGCTAGTTTTTTTATGGCTCTGGCACGATTTGTGCTTTAGCTAGCGTCAAGTATAGGATTTTTTATAATTCGTGCTTGTCTTTAGAAATTCGACCGTGTCCTCCATGTACGGTTTAGGCACTCGAGAGTGTCGTTTAGGCCGAGAACAAATTTAAATTATATTAAAACTTGCCCTCGAACCGGGAATCGAACCCGGTACCCCTCACCTAGCTGCCACTTAATAAGACCGCTAGGCTATGAGGCCCCCAGTAGCTAGTTATTAGGAATCATTTTTAATCTCTCTTAAAGCAACAATTCAAAACATTTCTTATATAGAGCCCCTAATAGCAATCAGGCAGATCTGTGGCCGGCTATCTAAACTGCAGGGGAGTATTTACCTTTTCCTAAAAATGGATCTTTATTTAAGCTAGGTCTGGTGGGTACTTGAATAATTTAATATAAATGTTTGTTAAGGTGTAATACACAACATACCGAGGTATTTACTCATTGATTCTACTATCAATGATACTAATTTGATTTAAAGCAATGATAATAATCGATTGATATACCGATAGTGATCTACCTCTATAGGTAATCGACATACATCAACTAGGTCATATAGATAATTGTAATTTGTGTCGGAACCAATTCCGTATTGAATGTCTAGTATGGATTTAATTGTAAACGTTTATCGTTTTTAACCCGTTATCCTACAAGTTCTGACGCGTGAAACTGTATTAATGTGTTCATATGCAATAAATAAAAATCTGTGCTGCCATTTAAAAAAGTAGGATTTAATTATCATTGAAAAAGATTGAAATAAATAATGAAACGCCTTATATATTGCGGATTATAATAATTAATTAGAATCAGAAAAATCAGAATCATCACCAATATAAATTGTTTCAAGAAATATAACGAAAAGTATTTTTTTATTAAACGTTGAGCGTTAAATAAATTTGCTACGTCTGGTGATATTTATGATATATATTGTCCTAAATGGTAAATGGTAACCGTGTGTGTTTTATAAATTTTGATTCCAATATTGCGCTGTGGAGCTGTCCTTCTAAAACTTAGTCGGGTAATCTGGCTCATCATGCTTTTCTGTTTTTTGTATCTTATTTAAATTATTTACAACTGTCTTCTACTGTTTCATATACTAATATTTTTTCTCTGTTCTTCTATTCGATTTCATATTACGAAGGAAATATAAAATATTAGTTGTTAAATAAGTACTGTGAATTTAAAACAAAAGACGAAACGACGACGCATTTTGTTTGATTGCCGGGCCCAAAATACGTTACGAAAACGTATTCTACGTTTTACATTCTCAACGTCCGTTGTACCCGTGCTCGACACAGTGAGTGGATTAGCTCTATCTCTCGATAACACTTCGCAGCCTCACCTAAATACCTACCTACAAATCGTAACGCCATTTTATTTCCAATAGAATTGCGGCCCAGGGATGTTCGCTGATCCTTCGCTTTCAAATAAACATTACTTGGAATATTATGAGATTTTAACGGTGTATTTTGTTAATTTAAGAATCAAATTATATGGATTAAGTTAATGTCAAAACTCATTAGAGTTACGTGTGGGCAAATAAAGTATTTTGTCATCTTTAAGATGATACATTTTATGCAAAACCAGACGATAAATTAAGTCTGGTATAAATTATAAAGAAATCTAATGATAAATTATCTTATCTGAAGGCGGAAGGAAAACGAATGCTTGATTTTAAAATTAAAACCATTCTAGGTTACGATTTAATCTACGAAATTATTTAGATGTGTAGATGAAACGGATTAAGTAAGCGTTAACTTTTAATGGGCGAAACGAGACTCCGTGTGAACCATGTATGACTCTAATACAAAACGTATCCATTTTTGACTTGACAACGTTCAATCAATGATCACCATCTGCACGCACGAAAAACCACGACTCAATGTCCCGTTACGTTCATTGTCCCGCTACGCTCACTGTCCGGTAACGTTCATTGTACGCTTGCACCGCATCTATATCTCTTCCACTCGGTAAGATAATGCATTCTAGGATTCACTCCATCTTATGTCGTTGTCAGGTTAAACAACCGTCTGTAAACCGACTTTTCAGAAAAGCATTTAAGGCTAAGAGAAACACAGTTTATTCAGCAGGATATGAAAAAGTTAATAAACGAAACTAAGTTCGTAGAACCACACCCAGGTGATTACTATAATATACTCTTGTGGCACGACGACGCCTCTCTCATTTCAAATTACTTTAAGTTTTACCGTAAAACTCTACTCCCTAAACATTTAACGACATCCCAAGCAGCATTTTTATATTGTTTGTTTATATAAGTATTTGTTTTTATTATTTCAATGGACTTTCTTTTTATGTGAGAATTTAACATTCGCTCGAACGGTGAATGAAAACATCGTGACAAAACCGGCTATCCTTCGACACAAAAATCGACGGTGTGTGTCAGGCACAGGAGGCTGATCACTTACTTGCCTATTAGATTGATAAATTATCATGAAATAGATACAGAAATCTGAGGCCCAGACCTAAAATGGTTGTAGCGCCACTGATTTATTTTTATATACATGAAAAATATATACACATGTGCCGTAAAAATATTTCATGGCTAACAACTTGGTCGTACATTTATAGAAACATAGTTTATGTAGTACGTAATTACATAAGGGACAACGATAACAAAGATTTTATTTAAATGCAGTATGGTACACTTACATATTCCGTGTAACCACTAAACCACAAGTTAGGATATAAATGTTACTTCTTAATGTGTCTAAGGGTTGAAGGGCGTATGACTTCTGGATGTAAAAAATGTGTGTAGCAGTGTTGTTTGAGGCCATTCGGGGCTTAAGCGAGCGATTCAACCCTAAATTTGAACTACCTTGCGATTCTGTAACTCACTTTCTCACTGAAAAGGAGGGAGGTTGTAGTTTATTGTTTATCAGAATGCCAAATCGTAAAATGACTGCTTCACGACTGATTTGAGCGCGACCGCTGCTGCGAAAACCGCTGTGAGAGTTCGAAAAGTGAGTTACAGAATCGCAAGGCTGAACTGAACAAGCATTTGAATCATGGCTGTGTAATGGATTTTTATATCTACGATTTTACCAGGAGCGGAGTCCCCATAAATAGCTAACATCTCTTGTAAGATGGTTTGAGGTGTCTTTCCTTGTTTGGAACTTTATAACGGCGCGATGTTTAATTTTTTCCATAGTGGCTAGTCTCTTCCCGATTTACTTGTTTACCCGTTGATAACTCAAAAGATAATGATCCGATTAGGCTGAAAATTGTTATATTTACTAAATGAGTCACTCAATTTGCTACCTGGAGGAGTAAACTCACTATGTGCGCTGGTTAAAATATTCGGATCCAACGTCAAATCTGTGCTGCTCTATGGGTGTAAAACGTGGAGGGTCTATTTTGGGCATTTACTGGCCTGAAAAAATCTCTAACGAGCAACTTTGGGGGCGCTGCCGAGAGTTTAGTAAGTAAGTAAGTCTTTGATCCCCTCCATCAGGATCAAAGAAACTGACCAACGCCTATAGGATTGTTGCACCACTGGATATTCTTGTTACTCAATATCTTTCAGTACCATTAATCGAAACCCCTTCGTGGGTAAAGGCCTCCTGCAGCTTTTACATTCATGCTTTCTTTCTCCATTAGCTTCCTGTTAATGCTTTTATATCTTCTATCCACATTTTTTAAGAGCGCTCTCTTTTCCTTTTTCTCCTTCACTATATCTTAAAAAATACATAAACATTCAGAAATTTAAATACAATAATGAACATTTAGACAAGTATTCATTACAGAATGTTAAATTAAGAATTTAATTTTCTTTGAAAAACGGATAATTCCTAGTTGTCATCGCCACAGTTGAAGTTGAAATGGCTTTAATTACTCCCAGTCAAGTTTTTACACCAGTTTTACTTAATTAGATGATTCATTTAACTTAACAAGAAATGTTTTCGTCTAGAAAGCTCTGGTCAATGCTTTTAATTAAAAGTGTAAAGTTAAAAATGCTG